AAAAAATATTCTTCCTCCCAGGTTCGTTTAAAATGCCTTTTGTCTGTGTGCCACTGTCTACTGCTCTCCATGTTGCTTGCTACTGCTCCGTTCTTCGTGTTGTTGTTGTTGTTGTTCTTCTTCTTCTCCTCCTTGTTTTATTGGCGGGTTGCGAACTGAGCTGGGAGCTGCTTGACCTGACAACTGAGGTGGCATAATAAATTGTGGGGGGCCAAGAAATGTCCCCGCAGGCCAAACTTGGCCCACGGGCCCCACTTTGGGCACCCCTGCATTAGATCATAGGTGTCATTGAATCAAGTACCTGTCTGCACATGAGGGCCAGTCTCTCTTTCAGCTGTCCCAGCTCTGACCTCTGTCGCTCTATTTCGCCCTCTCTCTGCCTGTCGATTTCTCCATCATCCAGAATGGAGGAAGGTCCATTGGGAAGCCGCTGAATGAAGAGAATAGATTTACCACTAATACTCATCATCTATGGGATCAGTACAAAATGAATGCACTCTGGGCTACGGGTTACACTTCACATGCTAACACTGGATTTGAAAAACACACCAAGTCTTAGTGGCATTTTATAAAAACAAGGTTCTATCTCATTAACACTATGTTAAATTTGTGTGGGTTCAGGACTGTCATAGCAAATGGCAAACACTAATTTCAGGCAAATGCTAAATTGCTTCACAGAAAAATTCTGAAAATATGATTTCACAGGGAGGAAGACGAACTTATCAGAGGTCAATAGTAAGAAATAATAAAGTCTAGGTCAAGTGGAAGTAAAGTTACAGAAACACAACTTGTTCTGATGGATTGCAGGAGACTGTCAACCAAGTTAATTTAGTCTTGGTAAAATCCAAAATGGCACATAACATCTTCACTGACTGCCTGGAGTGCTGCTCAGGTGGAGTGTGCTCACAGCTGCCACTGATGGCTGGAGGCTCAGTGACGTGCGGTCAGGGGAGGCAGGTGAGGCAGAGCCTCCCCTGTCAATCTTGAAAAGAAAAAAAGTTAACCATAAAATATAATAAATGTTAATATTTGTCGGCTGGTGTGTGTTGTAGGCCCTTTTGCCGTTCGAATCCGATGTTGAAGGACTCTGATTATATGCTCTGCCTTGCCATAATCTGGATAATGTATAAAATGTAGTTCTGTAATGTGTTTAGGCTCGCAGATTAACCATAAAACCCAGTAAAAAAGTTACTCGGTGAGGCATACAGTACCCCTGCCCCAAGGCAGAGGGTGCTAGTGAGCCCACAGATTCTTGCGCTACCTACAATCTTCTTCGTGCTTGTTTATATTTCCTTTACAATCCGCCTTATCAAAATGGAAGATTACATTTCCAAATCTGGACTTTCAATCAAAACATTTTTGACAGTCTAGTCATTTTTATCCAGAAGGGTCTTCTTTATTGAAAACATTTGTTTTAATATTGGATTCGAATGGTAAAAGGGTTTGTAATACATACCAGCTGACAAATGGATTTCGTGTACAAGTAAAGGTAAGACCATAAACTTTTATTATTTCTAGTTAGAAATAAGCTCAATTGGAATAAATTTTAACCTCAAATTAAATATGGGTCACGTTTGTGTGAAGAATGCTGATATGAGATATAAAACATAACGCATTGTCTGTTAACAGACAATTTGTTAACGGTTCATTTGTATTTGTAAATCTGACTGTAAAAGAGTCAGTGCCTCACCAGCTGTCAACCTCACCACACGTCACTGTGGAGGCTATACTGCAGCAATACAAATGTCAGAGCATGAATGTATCACAAGAATACATGTTGGATTTATTTGGCTTACTAATGACTTTAATGTAACTTATGTAACATGTCAGTTGTTCAGCTGGTCCACCACTTTGGTCCATACTGAACTATCATAACAACTACTGAAGGGACTGCCATAAAATTTTGCACAGACATTCACAGTGTTGTTTCTAATGACTGTGGTGATCCCGTGACCGTTTCTCTAGTGCCACCACAGGGTTCACATCAATGGTTTTGTGTGAAATAACTCAACTATAGGATGCAATGCCATAAATATTTGATACACACATTCATTTTTCTTACATGTTGGTGAGCCTTTAACTCTTCATCTATTACTACCATCAGGTCAAAATTTTAATTTTTCCAGCACTGGTCTACTTGGACTAATACCTGTGAAATGGCTGACATTCCCACCAGCCTTTGTGTTGAGCGCTAATTAGCAAATGTTAATATGCTAACACTGATGTGACTAATACACCCTCACATAGCTGATCTTACTGACTCTTTTCACCATCCTGACATTAACTCTTTTCTCCTGATACACTGTTCAGAAGCTCCTTTTTTTCTGTCACCATTATTTTTTTCTCTACCATTCTTTTTAGAGAATCTTTGAGTGATGTATGAAATTGGTTATTCACCGTGATAGCACTCCAGTATTGTCATGGATCAGGGTGAATGTTAAAGCATTAATGGCAGAGGACTTTTCATGTTGATACATAACATCGGATTAGTAAACTTACTCATTTCAACTGGGAAATTGTGAGCTGTAGGTGTGAACTACAGACTGCCATAAGCTGACCTTGATTCTCAAGGTCTTTAGGAGGACTCTACTGTACTTTGCTGAAAACCGCTGAGGAAATGCATCTCATCACTGTACCTCTTTGCCGTTGTCTAGTCCTTGTTGTCGTCGTTTGATTTGGTCCCTTAAAGATATAACCTAAAACAACAGAAAAGAGAATCATCAGAAGAGACTCCATCAGTGATTTTAGGAGACAAATAAAGCAAACAAGCATATAAACATGAACTCACCTCTTGAGAGGAGGACTGCAGCTCTTCCTCCAGGGCCCCCACTCGCTCCAAAGCCACCCGTAGTCTTTCCCGCACCTTCTCATCCAGCGCTTTGTGATGCTCAAACAGGGACTTCAGAGCTTTTAGGACCTCCACCTCGCTGGAGACCCCAGCCGGGGACTGGGCCTGCCTCTTTACCACTGTCATCCTCAGGCTGCGCTCATGACGGGACACCAGGCACTCCAGATGTTCAAGCAGCAGCTGGAAAGACATTTCGCATAACAGTGGTACATTATTAGGTATTTTAGGATCGATTAAGATGCATGTACAAAATATCACACTTTAATTAACAGTTAAATAAATTCAAGAATATATGGTTGAACAGACATATAAGTGTACTGACTCGTGTGTTGTTCCTCTCTGCCTTCAGCTCGGCTATCTCCTCTTCTCTCTCAAGCAGTTGTTCCCGGCAGAGGTTCAGCTCTTTGGTCAGTACTGCAAACTCCTGCAGGGTCAGAAGATGGTGCTGTTATTGACTCAACGTTGGCGCTGCTGCTGCTGCTGCATGAGTGCAGGTTATCCATGTTGAACACACATACTCATTAAATTGCAAGGTTCACTGCATCCACAGATTGTTTTGTAATGATGCAATGTGATGTTCCACATGCCCCAAATCTGCCTCACCTGCTTCAGCTTCGTTTGTGAACAGACAGGTTACAGACAGTCAGAAGAGTTTGGCTGTTTGTTACTAATCCCTCCTTCAACTGTAAAACCAAACTAACAGATCAGAAAAAGATTTTTATTTTCTCTGTTGCTTCTTCCTTGAACTTTCTCCAGTAATACTGTTAAATGCTGTTATAACTCTATGAAGAGAAGCTTTACTCAGAAGGAGTGACACCAAAACATGATGTCATGTCATGATTGTGGTGAAAACTGTGTTACCAGACTCCATGGTAACTGGACGGGAAATATCTCTGCATGAGGTTACCTCTTCTAACTTTGGCCAGTTACCCTAAAGAAGAAAAAGCATGAGCAACTACTCATAAAAATGAACAAAGAAGCTCTGTAAGGTTTACTGTCAATACACTGCAATTAACTACAGTGAACAGCTTGACAATTCCTGATTACATTAGCAAACTCATACTTTTATTGCATGAGGAACACCTATACATGCACAAAACTGCAAAGCCTTTAGAGTGAAGGCATCAACTTACAGGTTTCACTAGTAGATTAAGGGTTAACAGATAACAGGGGACTAAAGCTTTCCAGTAAAAATAGACGTCTTATGTATTATGGCTTCAATGCATTGACACAATTTTTTTCTGTTGCTTTTTCAGTGGATTTCTTCCTTGTATGAGTCATAAATGATGAGTCAGAGGGACTAAAACCAACAAATATTGCTATTCCATAGTACTGCAACTGGAGTGAACATTTCTCAACATGAGATTACCTCTTCTAACTTTGGCCAGTTAACAGATACTTATACATAAGAAACTGCTACATAAAGAACCCAAGCTTTATTGGCAATATATAATCAAACACCCACTGCATGTGTTGCACCTGAATTTGGTTTAATGGCACAATAACCATGAGTGGCTGTATGTTTGCCCCTCACTGACACAGACGCCTTGAGGTTAAACAAGCGTGAGAGTAACGGGAAGTAGGCCAGCCCAGTGTGATGTCTTCTATTTTCGACTGAGGCAGTCCAGTTGTTGGGATTTTGTGTAATTTACTCCAATTATGTATAATTGTGAGGTTAGCTACATGACGATTAAAACCTGTTGCCTTTAGCATAACTAAATGATATCTATGGCAACAAATCAACAAACACAGGATGAGTGACGTTATCAAGTACATGTCACTTGGACTGAGTCGCTTGCTGGGATGATGTCTTTATTTGTGTAATCACAACACTCCACTGAGCACGTCCTGGCAAAGTAAAGCACAACTATGTGCACGCACTGTGCTCTAGCTGCCTGTCCCTGCACTGCCTGACCTCATGTTTCAACTGTCCTCATGCGTGTTTGAGGCATGTTACACATATGACACAGAACACACGCCCGCCCTCAAACAAGTGGGTGTCAAATCATGTGTTTTGAAAAGACGCTTATGCAAACGAGCCATTACAAGGCACTGAAGTGTGCACGGTGCTGTTGTGTTAACAGTGATCAGTTTACCCACACAGCAGCAAACAGACACCATACCTCGCACCATTTTCCCATCAAAATGTGTTTAAAATGTACAGGATGTACATTTTACATCAGGCTATTAAGAAGATGTGAAATAGGGGAGGATGGGTGACAGAAGAGAGAGGAAGAAGCTTATTTGGAAAGATGGAAGAGGCAGGATGAAGGAGGAAATTGCTGCATACAGATGGTGTTCTCCGGGCCCAGAGGATATCATAATTCTGGGATTAATCCATGTAAAAGATATCAGACACTTTCTAGATTCCTCTCTGTCTCTTTTGGTCACCATCATTTTGGTCAGATGCAAATCTCTCAGCTCCCCGACAGCGCTGGAATTCACCTCTTACACTTTTCATTTTCTACTCCCTCTCACCTCAGTCCTGCCAGTCTACCCCGTTCATCCATCTCAATCTCCCTCTGTCATGATACACGGCATCTAAAACAGACTCTAGAAGCCACCCTATTAGTATGCAGCAATATGCAAATGGCCCTGATTTGTTAGTCTCTGTGTGTTTTGAATCACCAGATTTTTTTCTCTCTGTGCCATGCTGTCACTCTTGCCATCCCTCCCTCCTGTTCTTCTCTACTGGCAACTTCTACACACACAGACAAACTCAGTGAACTCATCTACTGTAGAATGTATCACAGCGCTCCGTGTGTTCCTCTATATGTGTGTGTTTCTACAGCTATGTGCGCCATATTGATTCCTTCTCAGTGAGCTAATGCGGCCCTTTAATGTCCACTCACTCTGTGTTAGAACGTGTAGCCCTGCTACATTTGTTATTTCATTTTAAGATTTCAAATGTAACAACAGAGAAAATTTGGTTCTAACAATGAGGGAGGCATCATTGCTGCCGGAGGCATTCGAAATAACTCCTGCATGAAAATACAGATGAAGCCCCTTGTATGTTGAGTGGAATTAAAGCTTGATTAGCTCTTGGCCACTGGGGTGTGGGATAATATCGGCTTCTGTGCTACCGGGGCAAATGTAACATTTTACCACCATCTCCAGGTTCTAGGTAGCCCCCACTTGTGCCTCGCTTGTTTTACCTTCATTACACTCCAGTGACAAATCATCTGATGTTTCAAATATTTAAAAAAAAAATTAAAAATACAGTGGAAAACCTCAAAAGTGTCTTTTAACAATGCTTACTCTAAGATCAAAATTTAGTCAGATCCTTAGTTTGGCAAATTCTCAATTTTAACACGCTGGTATCAAGGAATGTTTCATAATTGTATGTTTATAAAAAATCTGTTCTAAGTATTGTTGCATATATTTACTGTAGATATAAATGGAGAAACTGAGTACTTTTAATGAAGAATTTTATTTAAGTGTGCTTTTGAGGCACTGGTGCTTGACTATATTCATTTTTAGAAAAGTCCTATTGTAAATTTTAGTTACTTTGCAGAATAAACTCTTAAAGTCAACATGTGACAAACTCATAAATGATCATTGTTGTTAGAGAAAATTTAGTATCACAGTCAAATATGGCCTATGACTACTCAGCATATCACATTTTTAATGTTGTCTAAAAAGTATTAGACAGAGAAAAAGGCCAAACAGCTTTCTCACCCTGGGGAAATGTATAATCATTTGAAAGAATCAATATTCACAAAACTGGACGTATGAGGTTTTCACCCATGTCGGTCTTTCTAAAAACCCCAACACTATAAAAAAGGCATCAGACTCAGAGTCACCTGGACCAGCCACCACATTAAAATCCTGGTTTACAGTTTCACACATCAATAATTCAACACTGTGATAGGAACCATTTTCACTATAAGTACTTTTAATACAAGAGTGCATTCTTCTAATAATACTCGTTTACTTTTACTGAGGGCAGCATGCAATGAATACAGGATTTTGACTAGTAACGGTGCAGCTGTTCATCATCATGTCTGTGTTTTTGCAGCACGTACTTAAATACTAATCACAAAGCTGAATTCTGAAGAAGTTAAGCTAGTGTTCTGGTATGCTATAACATGTGTTCATTTATGATTTTATTTGATGTATTAGTTAAAAATACCTACAAATTATTATCTGGACTGCATACGACATTATCATCTTTCAAGACTACAGAGGGTCAGTTTGTGTACTGTAAATATGCAAACATGATCACTTTTTTTGTTATAACCTGTGTGCATTCACTGTCTGATTTATAGTTACTGAACCAGCTGCCTACAACTATAGTTATCTCACAACCACTGTGAAGTGACACTGATGTTATGTCCATGTGTCAGCAGAAAAACCTGAAAAAAACATTTGAGTTAAGCGTTTCTGTTTTGCCCTTTTTATAACAAACTTTCAACCACCTGAAGTTATATTAATCTCCTACCTTGCATTAAAGCAACACTTTGTCTCTTCACTTGTGTCAGCTGAGAAACTAAAAGTCAGCACATAGACCCACAAACAGCAGATTTTTACAGACCTGTTCTATTCCAACTTCTCAAACTGTTGAAGCTAAAACTAATTGAAGCTCCTAATCTTGTTCATGTTCCAATAAAGCATAAAATTCACAGGTTTTTCTGAAATGCAAATGCTTTACACAACCATCTCCTATATTTTCCTTCGTGGTAGTGCTGCTGAACTGTATGCGCTTGTGTATCACAGCATTATCAGCAACAAACATACATGAAAATAAATACTGCACTTCAGTATTCACAGTATTTGGTGCAAAAAACCTATTCTAATCTGACATTTTCTGCTTTCACCCTATGTCTTCATATCGGGATGAAGCGAACACATGGGATGCACACACACACACTATTGTCTGTGCCTTGGATTGTGCAGTGCTGTGAATGACATGACTGAACATGTTGTTTCATATAAGTCGCTGATGTTACATAATCGTCTTTCGTTCACACCTTCAGTCTGACCTTGACAAGGAAAACACAAATATGAACTAGTTGAGTGGATATCCTCTTATAGAGAAGGGTCAACAAGGAGTCAAACTGAGACGTGTGTACGTCTACAAGTTCTCTCCACTGCTGCACTCCTGTTTCTAAAGCAGCATTTAAACCATAATGTGAGACCAAAACTCTTACATTTAAAGCCATGAGCTCCTTTCAGGTGGATCAGCAGCTCCTACCTCATCTTTTGACTGTTACTCAGACCCCCCTCAGTCTTCATACCTGTGGCAGGGCAATGGAAAGCCGTCTCTGGCGGGGATCCTTCGCGACTCCTTCTCGTGGCCCAGGTCTCGCAGTCGGAGGTGAGCTGTCCCCAGACTCTCCTGAGTCTCCCTCAGGCTCTCCAGCAGCCTCTCCCTCTCTGTCAGCATGTTCACCATCAGGGACTCCAGGTTACCCGTGCTTCCCCCCTCATCGCCACCACCACGGTGATCCCGGCTGCCATAGCCCCCCATGCCTCCCATCCCTGCTCCCAGCCCTCCTCCTCCTCCCCCTGCCGGGGAAGACGAGCCACCTCCTCCCCCTCCGCGCCCATCCTCTGAGATGGTGGGCATCACCTCGCACATCATCTTGAGGCTTGGGTGTGAGAGGTATTATCTGAGATGATGTCTAGGACACTTGAATGCAGTGCCTGGTGAAAACCTGATCAGCTCTCGTCATGAAACGCTCAGGGGTCTTTTCTCTCAAACTGACTAACTAAGGCTGGCAGGCAAGAAAAGAGTGCTGGGGGGAGACGAGTAGGGTGGTTTTGTAAGCGTGCTACTGAGAGATAAGTGTGGAAAAGCATATAAGGAAAAAGTTACAGTGACAATGTAGGGTGCCTGGGGCTGAGCATCTAGTGAGGGGGTAGGGTGGGTTGCAGGGGGAAGTGGGAGAAGTGCAGGTTGAGTGGGCGACCTCTGACCCCAGGCCCAGCCTTCACTGAGATGTGAGATGAACCTGGAAAGAGAAGAAGAAAAGGAGAGGTCGTTTTTAGCCCAGTATGTGAGTGGATGTGACAGTGAGCATAGCTAGAGGAGGATGCTGATGGATAATGGAGGCCACACATTCCCAGGACATATAATGCAAACCCATCAGGTTCTCATATTATCACTCATGTGGATCCGTCCTGACACACACACACACAAACACACACAATACATGCTTATTTCTCAGGCGTTTTCAAGACGTCAGAGAAACCATAACAATTGCAACACTGCTCTTCCACTGACTGACATCGCAGTGGCCAACGTCTGGAGTAATTCATCCATCAGTGCATGTCTCAGTTTTATGTATCCGAGCGTCCACAGTTATAACCGTAATAATAAATGCGCATGATGGACGGAAATGAGTCGCGAATGGTGTCTTTTTACCTCATAAGCCTACAAAACGCCGTCACGCAAATAAAGAACAACCATCAGGCCTGTAGGTAGGAGAAAGATGCGGCACTGTTTCATACATTCATGTGAAAAAGGGGTGTCATCATGAATTGTAATTACGGGTAGTATCCAGGAGGAAATAGGCTTCTTTTCTATGGCTCCGGAACTCATCTATAAAAATATTCTGGGTGAATCAGGAGGCTTGTCATCCTTAGACGGGAAATGAACTGCTGTCTTAACAAACTAAATGGTCAAAACAGGGGGAAACAGCCTCTTTCTTAAGCATTCGGGATAGCTTCACACCGCTATCACATCATGGTGGGAGGTGCCAATCATCCTATAAATGATGTAGGCCTAATTACCTGATCAAATCTGAAGATATTACGCAATTGGATTTTTTTTTAGTGAGATGATTAGTATTACTTTCGGAAAACGGTGTGCCGCTTTGGCTTTATTCCGACTGCAAGGCGTCTAGCCTATTTCCTATCACCCACCACCACCCCCCAATAAAAACAGCTGGACGGGCTAACGCACGGCGAGATCCGTGCACCGTACATCACCGTGGATTTCCGCCGCCGCCAGACAACCTGTGTCTCTTACCCCTTCCATGATCGACAGAGAAAGGAAATAAAGGCGCATCGTTTCCCGCTTCACTCCATCAGAGCATCTCAGCGACGGAGGCTGCAGGTTATCCCCGTTTCAGCCCGGTTACCAGCCTGCCCCATCCCCTCCCTATCTCTGCCGCATCAAGTTGCAGGCAGGAAAAACAACCAACATCCGGCCTGGCCTTTCACAATTAAACATCCACGTCTTGAACAGCTGGTCCGGGCACAGAGCCACAAGGAAGACCAGAAAGACCCAAATCTAGTTTTATCAATGGCACAAACAGTCAACCTTACCGTATATAGCCTAATGTAAAACTGACTACCACATACACAACAGATGAATATGAACTAGCTTTACAACATATTAGTCTTTACACAGCCAGCAGTCAGAAATCATGGGATGGATAGTCAGGTGTAAGGAAACGTTGACATAACAGACCTTTGTCTGTTTGAGGACATATATATTTATTGTACAACGTGAAAAATACTGGACTATAATTGTACTGCAAAAAGAAAATGAGTAGAGATCGGCAAATCTTCTTTAAATAACGTACTATAAGGTTGAGGCTTTAATCTGAAGATAAATAACAGTGCTTCCGTGTTCCGCCTTGTGTTTTTGTGTAACTTGACAACCTCCCGTGTATCTTCCCTCGTCTCTCCTCCTGTGAAGGATGCTGGGTTTTAAAGGAACAAGCGTTTACCGGCTTTTTCTAAACCCCTCACCACCTCACACGCTAGGACTGCAGCTTTTCTTTTTTTTTTGCAGTTTTACATTAAACAGAAAACCAACAGCTTACACACCGTCAGAGCAGAACAGCCTATGTGAGAATAATTCCCTCATTTCATTCATGTGGTATCTGAAACTTGGCAAAATAATAAAGCAATTGTACCCTCTAGCGCCTGGGTATTAGAAATGCACTAGTACCGCGAGGTTTGGGGCTCATTGTCCAGATATAACAACCGTCACGGACTCACACTTCGGCAAAACTGAAAAAACTTTTAAACGAGAGCAGTCAACAACAAACAACTTTAAAATAATCGCAACCGTTTACACTAAAGTCGGTCGTTTGGGGGTTTATAGGTTTCATTGTGGGCATTCAGTTATTTCAGCAATTAAAATTTAACCTTAAACATATTTACCCGCTTATGATTAAATCAGCCGCAGCTCATATCAGAAGTCATAACCAGTCAAGACAGGCTCCCTTAGCCAATCAGAGCTCCGGGGAGGTGGGCCTTAAACTCCTAGGTAGAGAAGAGGGAGGGGGAGGAGCGCCAGGGGGTGATGTAATGCCCGCTTCAGAGAGGGTGGTGTGGAGTGCATCCAAATTATATTTGCAAAACAACAACAAAAACATTTCGAGGAGAACGGAAGAAAGAAAGTAAAAAGCCCAAGGAACATCGTCAGTGCGAGGTTGAATAAATACAAATTCAACAGCACATTTTAGCTTCAAACTTAAAATCATCTACTGCTAATGACTCATTCTACCTTTTTTTTTAAGTTATAGGCTAAGTCACGTCTGTCTATTTATGCTACTCGTTTCTTCCTAACAAGCAGCACTGAAGGTTTTCTGAATCACAGACTCCAAAAATTGATCCACAAAAATTCAGAATTGTCTGCAAAACCCTGAAGACGAGCGAACCTCCAATGACAACTTGGTGTGACTCCATCTGATATTTTAAAGACATATAACAGGAGATCAGACAGGAATGGACTTACACCAACACACCGCTATTAGACAAAAACACCTGATTAACAATATTCTATCAAAAGTAAAACTTCTGCTTTCAAATGTTACTTAAATGTATATTGAAGTGTAATTGCTATAAAGTATCAAAAATGAAATGATAGATGTGACAGTGTTATTGCAGTACATAGACTGTAACTGCATGGCAACACATTATAATGATACAATGTTTCTAACTGGGTGTGCTGCACATAGAAATACTTGGCAAAAATATCCAGTGACTGCAGCTGTTAGGTAAATGTCATGAAGGACAAGGATGTGTCCAGATCTTTAACTTAAAACAACAACAACAACAATAACAAAGCTATTTCATACAGTGAAAATACTCCAGTTAAAATCCTGCATTCAATTCCATGTAAGAACTTTGTAAGAAAAATCTAATTTCACTGCATTTATCTATTATTAATAACAGAAGTACAAAAGTAGTGAAATGTACGGGAGTGTAAAGCCTGCCTCAAACTCGAGATGGGTAAATGTACTATTTCCCACTACGTTTCTCGAAACAGTGCAACTCCTTTGAAATGTGATGGAGTCTCATAATATAGAACTACTTAAGTAAAGACACAGCATTTCTGTATATCAGGGTAAAGACGTGAGAACATACTGAATACATGGAATATTTCTTTCCCTTCATGCAAGTATAGATTTGCAATTTAACTTTGATATTACAATTTTACTTGCTTAGTTTTTCATGGTTTCTGTTTTACTTTAATAAAAAAACATTGTATGATACAAACAATCATTTATAGTATTTCAAAATAACCTATTAAAAAACTTGCTTTTTTGCTTGAGTGAGGACAGGAGTCAGGGATGCTTTGTGTTAAGGGTAGGTTAGGTCTGGAAAATGGTGTTGCTTACTCTGGGGCTCTGAAGATATATGATGGCATGGCCTGACACCCCCCTCTCTGGGGCCAAACGTTTCAAAAGAAGTGTGCTCTATTGAGTGAATCCTCCTACAGGCAGCTTTCTGAGCACATCTTTATTTGGCTGATATGACAGCAGTGACTGACAGGAGGCAGCTGCGTGGCCACCAGGAGAGGAGGGGTCCTGCGGGGTCATGTGAGGTCAGCGGGTTAAAGGAATGCTGATAGGATTGCTCTGAGTGGCAGCCAGATGAGAATCTCATCAGCAGGACAACAACAAGGATCAGCCAGTCCCCGGGGAGCTGTGACTGACCCAGCAGAGACACACAGCAACCAGGAGGAAGAGGAGGCAGGGCTCACAAACACACATTTAAACAGGGTGATACCGTTTCATATATTATGTACACACAGCCAGCTTCCACACTATCTGTCTCCATTGTTCTGATCAGTGAATGTTCTGTATTACTTATTATATACCGTTACGTAATCATGTTATACTACACTGTCACCTTATATGCTATTACTATAATAATACAGACATACAGTATTTGTATTCTAAACTATTCTACTCTACAGTGTTGCAGTAGTTTGTATCTTTCTATACACCTACTTGACACCACAGTGTCACTTTCTAACAAGAAAACTGTTTCTAGAAAGGTGAATGACGGATTGGTTTTTGTCATTTTTCATGATTATCAAATATTTAGATCCCTTCACATTTTGCAATTTTAATGTGTTATAGATTTAACTAAATGAGTAAAGTTGTCATTTTCACCCATTAGTCTACTTAAAAAGTGAAAACATGTTTTTAGAATTTTTATTTTCTAAGCCATTAAAAAAATGAATCTCACAATAAGTCTTCAGGAACACGGCTACTAGAGGAGCCATGAGCAGGGATACAAGACAACGTCCTTCATGGACGGATCAACACACGCAAGTTTATCAGAAATCAGTTGGTGATTTGACACTTAATATGACAGATCGGAGGAAAGGAGGTTTCACATCTCTAAACCTTGTTTCCTTGACTCCTCTCTCCTCGTGTTTCCTTACATTGGCAGGAAAAACACACAAGGAAAAGGCCCAAGTGGGGGAAACATGGATGCACTTAAAACTGGGATTTACCCCTTACAAGAGACATGAAGACAGCAGCGCACAGACACTTCCCATCCAATATGACAGAGCTTGAGAGGATCTCTGAGGAAGAATGGGGTCCAGATGTGTCTATCAGAAGCTGGCAGACACTTACCCAGGAAAAGATTTGAGAAGTCTGGTTTAGATGTTTAAAATTAAGACTTTATTTGAAGATGGTAATGAGTTTACACTGTAGTTGAATCTGATGTAGACCACAGAGATGAATGCACAGCAAAATATGTCAAGACTCATGAACCAAGTCTGTCTAAATTTATACATATAGCTAACATACTGTAACTGAGTTTGTAGGAACCATCTGGATATCTGTGTCAGTGCAAGTCAGAAGTGTGTGCATGTGTGTGCGTGTTAAGGCTGTCAGTGCATGCATTAAGTGTGTAAAGGCAGATTCTGTGGAGGCTCTGCAGGCAAATTGTTCTGGGCTTCAGCCTCGTGTTCAGCTGGGGGTTTTGCCTCTGTGAGAGACCAAAGACAGACTCACTTACTGAAAACAATTATGAGACAAATCCATACTAATAGTACTACATACATCTCAAGTGTGTTTACCTTCAGGCTTATGTGTCTCTGGCTGGAACTGTAGTTCTCCATTAGGACCTGCAGGAGGCTGTCTGTCTGCTGCCTGCAGTTCTTTCTGTCTCTGGGACATCTCTAATACAGCCTGATATAAAAAAAAATGAAACAAAATTATCAGCTGCACATTCAACAGTGTGTTTACCAGCTGAAAATCAGTTGCTGACTTTTTTTAATTATGATCCCTGTGTGATTCAACTTGCTGCAAAGAGTCAATTTTTAGATCAGTTTCACAAAGTGAGGAGGCAGGACAACCACCTGCTTGTACTCTTGCTTCTGGGCTTCCAGGGCTTTGCCTCGCTCCTTCAGCAGCTCCTGCTCCTGACGCAAAGTCTCTGCCCTCCTCTTCAGCTCCTCCTCCTTGTCCCTGAGTTCGGCCTCAAATCGTTGGAGCTCCTCCTCTGTGTACATGGGCTTAGTGTCTAGAGTCTAGAGAGACAACAGTATGCAAGCACAAAGAGCATGAACGACTGTGTCATCTCATAATATATGTTTACAAAAGGCTAATACTCAATCTTCAATATCTAACCGGAGACACGATGAGCCCATGAGCTCCCTCCTCGCATTTATCAAATGGAGTATTTCCAACAAGTGAGAACATGTCTGACACCAACTATCTCTCAGCGTGTGCTGTATGTGTGAAAAGGCAACTCTGGACAAAGACCAGACCTGATTCTGTGGACATAGTCAGGATTTCATGTGGAAAACTATGATGTCTGTGTTGATTATGTCTGCATATTAGTATCACAAGTTTGACTTTTCTCCTGGTCTTGATCACATCTGAGATACTAAGTTGATATGAAACATAAAACAACCTGGTTATTCATCTCCCTGTATACATGAGCGTAACAGAATCCATGGTTCTGATCACCCGTGTGCAGTATCCTGGTTTCTACTTGAGCTCTTCCAAGTAGCGAACCAAGGGTTCTGACACCTAGATGTTTACAAGCACAACACAACTGGCACACCTGATTCTGACACACTCATACTCCTTATTGTTTTTTAACCTGTGCACAGCTTTCAAGGTTAATATTGATTTGGCCAGAGCTCTTTTTTTTTTCCTCTTGTAAGCTGGTCCTGACTCATTAACAAACTAAACAAAACACTGTACTAATGCTACTGACAGCAGTCACTTGAGGGAGCAGCTCCATGTGCACGATTTGATGAGAGAAAGCCCTGCACTGCCCATTGAACTTTACCACCCACACTGTCCTCCAGGTCTGGGCTCTTTACCTCCCAGTCTTTGGGATTAGTGAACTCCTTCTTCTCTGTGGATTTGATGAACTCCTTCAGGGTGACGAGTCGGTCTTTATTTGTGTCCACCTTGAAAACAGGGAAACTGCATCAGTTAAATACAAGACGAGAAAAGGGAGGAGACTGGCTGATGTTTGGACGTGTCGAAGGCAAGAGCAGAGAGAGAAAAGTACATTTAACATTTAAGACCCACATTCTTCATGACATGCTCTCTCATCCTGAGCCTCTCTTCCTCCATCTCCATCATATCATCTTCCTCATTCTTTGGGTCATAAACCTTCTCCAGCTGGAGGAGGGAAACAAACAGAAGTTAGCTGCTACAGGGACGCTATGCACATCTCTGCTGCAGGAATGGAGGGACATGGACAAAACCAGCTGCGTCTAAAAGGTACTTTACATATTCTGTCACAGGCTTTTAAGGAGTTTCCCCAGGGTTTTCAATGTAAACCAGAATTATAATAATGTAGCTGTAACATACTGTGGGATTCTATACCTCCTTAGTGAAGAGAGCCTCCAATTCTTGTTCATCTAAAACACCATCTTCATTTGTATCTAAATGGGGCAGAGACAAAATCAGAATCTTCCTCATATCAAACTCCTGAGTGTGTGAAATGAAAAAGACTCAGGCTTGTTACCCACCATGCAGCTTGAAGAAGGTTTTGGGGTTGAACTCCTGAGGGTCAAGTCCATCTGTCTCCTCCCACACTTCCCGCAGCTGAGCAACACTGCCCTGAGTGGCAAGAAATGCAGCAGAAAGTGAAAAAAGCACGAACACTTTTGTTAACAACAACAAAAAAAAAACAGTCATTTGCTGCCTACCGGAGCATTGATTTTGGGGTGCTGCCGGTGTTTCTCGATCAGCTCTTGCATTCTCTTCTCCTCTCTCTCCCTCTTCTCCTGGTCCAGGCCCTTCAGATACTCACGCCTCTCGTGTTCCTTTAGCATCTCGTAGCGCTTGAACTCCTCATGTCTCTCAGCATCGTAGTTCTCTAGGTCCTTGGTGGCCTAGATGAAGCGTCAGAAGGAGATAAAGTCATCATTTTGAAACTCTTCTTCAGAGAGTGAGTTCAGATACAATACAAAACTAAAGTGTAGTAAGAGATGTGACATCTTATTTTGACCTCCTGAGTTGGATTATGTGATGAAAGTCATCATTTCCCAATAACTGCCTAAATTTTACTGCTGTGGGACCTCACCGTTGAGATCAGCAGCTCAAGGTCTCTGGCCTCAAAGGTGTTTTGATTATGTGGATCCAGATGTTCAAACTGCTTCAGCAGGGAGGCGTGGTCCATCTGCAGGCCTGCACAGCAAATTCACAGATTATGAACCACATGCTGGATGTTAGGCACACATGAATTCCATCATCTCCTGTACGCATTGCTGAACACTTCTCTGTACTGCAGCTATATTTATCTTTCAATACTAACCCTGATCAGTTATATTCATGCGTACACTCTACAAGCAACAGCTAACATTTTACATCTCAGCTCCCTGCTTTCATCTGCTCTGCTTGTAGAAATGTTCTGTGCCCATGTGCATGAACTACGAACACTGCACATCTGTATGACTGTGTGACTGAACTAACAAAAACAAGGAAAACCTGCACAAAACTTATAAATATGAAAGCCAAATTGTGCAAATGTATCCATTTCAAACTATAAATCTGTCAGTGCAAATTCTGGTTATCAATCAATGCTTACATGACTGAAATCATCTGTTACTGCAAATTTACCTGACAGGTCAATATTCTAAATAAATAATTTTAGTTGTCATATAAAAACACAACACTGTCACAAATATAAAAACATGCCTTCTTTTCTTCATCTCAGATCATTATCATCTGAATGCACAGACTTGGTTTTATGAATTATTTATATGACACTTTTTGCTCTAGTGACTTAAGCTGTGATGGGAATTTGACATCTTATACTGTAATAGTACCTGCAGGAAGTAGGACTATACAGTATATTGCTATCCTAACAGCTAGAAACAGGCAGTTAATAAAGGAAATCATAAAAGTTGGTTAGGGGTATATGCTCCAGCAAAATAATGACCCACAACCTGCATCTAGGCTGTGATGAGCACACTCACTCTGCATGTTTGTGCTGTCCAGTTTGGCCTTCAACAGCATCCTGAGACGAGAAACCTCCTGCCGCTTCAGCTCATCGAGTTGAGTCCTGACATGGTGACTGACCAGGTCCAGCTCTTTACTGAGATGACCATTCTAACAGAGAACACACGACACTCAGGTGAACACATCAAATGCCAGATCCTGTTGTTACCTGTACAAGGTAAACAAGGAAGCCTTGTGGGTGACAATCAAAAGAGAAACAGTAGCAGATATGGACACTGACTTTGATGTCCTCTGTGTTTGCTGCCTGCAATTTCTCCCTGAAGTGAGGGTCAGTCTCCAAAACCCCAATCACTTCTCTGAGGTACCTGTCGTAGTACAGGCCTGTGTCCTGAAAACGTGTTGTAAAGAACACGATACTGAGTGAATCCCAACTAAATCATAAAAACATACCAGACAGTAAAAGAAAACATTAGCTTAGAGATTACTGAGATCGTTACCATGCTCTCCTCCTGCGCTTCCTCTTTAGCTTTTTGGTTGGCTCCATTGCGATCAATAGGCACTGACCAGACCCCGGCAGGGACGCAACAGAGAATCAACAGCCAGGCAGGGTTTATATTCATCCTACTGTAATAGGAGCAACAACAAAATGGTAATATTTTATTCAGCAGAACTCACAAGTCATAATCTTAGCAGAGAGAACTAATTGAACTGATTAACGTTTGATGTGGATAATATTTTAACATTAAACATTTTAAAACGCATTTTTCAGATGATATACCGGGTGCTATTTATCCCTTACCGTAGCTGTAACATTAATCTACAGAAAAAATGGCTTTTTTCGTCCTGCGTCACGGCTTTCTAGGAATTCTTCAGATAAATCCCGATTACGATACAATTACAAATACAATATGTTAATAACACAAACTTGTCTTAAAACAGCTCTTGTCTTACCGCAGGTTTATTTATAATATCTGATCCAACTGTCAAAACACGACCTTTAGTTGCGTCGGATAAAATTGACGTCATCAGAAGGCAGGGTAACATGCTGCCTTCAGGTACTGTCGGAAATACTGGCAGTGTTTATATCTTTACGAATAGAAAGTTAGGATTATCGTCAAACTGTTGTAGCGAAAGTACTGTCATGATGATAAATTTATATTAACAATTAGTTAAAATGTCGCTTATGTGCTGGGTCATTTGAGGTTTTCTTCATTTTGTATCTTAGTAAAATATTGTAATAAAGCAAGGATTTTTAAAATGTAATGAACCTAAACAAACAAATAACAGCCACTATAACATTCGCTTATGTCCCTGTCCAGTTAGGGATTCATTATGTCCCACAAAAAATAAACCGAACTGAACTGAAACAAAAGAAGAGGGAAGTAAGTGCCTATGCATTGCACGTGCAAATGTAATTTTCCAATTTTTAAATAATACATAGATGCAAAGTATGTACTAAGGTTTTTAATTGTTTTGAAAAATAGATTTGTTCTATATTTAATTCAGCACACAACACAAAGTCATGGCAGATCAAAATAAATTAACATCACAAGAGTCAACAATTGCACAAGGTAATAAATAAAATGTATAAATATTATGAATCAAAAACATCCAAGCCTGAAATAAAAACAGTTAATAAAATATGGCACATGCAAAACACATAGCTGACAAATTGTTCACAAATAAATAAAGCAAAAGAATAAATTAGCAGTTACCCAATAAATAAAAAGTTGTCAAAACATTTGCGGTCATTTTGTATTCATATCAGTTTGACTGATGGATTTGAAGGGTTTTGATTAATTCACACTTTCAATGCAACAGCTGATTCAGTGTTTAGAAGTCAATCTCTCTCATGTCAGTTGGTGTCCCAGGTCTTTCGTTTTCCACCTCTTCATCTTTCTCCATGGGGCCCTGCTGATGCCCACTCCTCAGCCGCTGGCGGAGGGCATACTCAATCATCTCGCTATAGCACTGCAGCACTGCCTAGGATGCAAGGCAAGAAAATAAATGATCTTTGACATGAATGCACGTCTCTTCCCGCATTTGGCATGACTATGAAACAATCAGGTCCCTCAAAGCACAAGTATTCATAGTCTCTAAAAATCTATCAATCATGCAACTCCCACCCTTTACCAAAACTAAAACTCCAAATTTAAATCAAATAAAATCAACTAAACTGGTCTGTTTGTGTCCTTCAACTTTGCATTTGTACTCACCAGGTCAGTCTGGCACAGCTCTGCCAGTGCTTCAGTCATAAGAGCCAGCTGGGAGGGGCCCCTGTTGCTGAGACCTCTCAGGGCACAGTTCAGTGATGCTGCAGCAACAAGTGACGGTGGAGCTCCCAGAAAACGGGAGTCACAGACACACATGGTAGACAGTGTGTCGCTGTGCCGCCGCAGGGTGGAGAGCCACTCCCCCTCAGACTCACCGGTGTCTCCGGCTCCTCTCTGCTCCACAGAAGCAAGAAAATGTGGGAGGAAGTCCTGAGGAGTCACTGCTGCTGTGTCCCATCGGAGGGTAGCGAGGATGACACGCTCCATTTCCTGATGAAGGAAAAAAGGAAAAATATGAGTCAGAAATTGCTGTGTGATGGTAAAACATAGAGATGTATGATATTAATAGAACAGATGTTTGTTGTAATAACAACAGCTTATTTGTTGTCTTTTCCTGATCTAATTTATGTTCTGTGATACAATCTTCAAAAGCTGAATAAAGTCACCATTGAAGTGTTCAGTCAAAAAAGTTGATATGTGCTTTTTGGTCAGACAACAGAAAAATAATCAGTTATTTTTATAATTGAGTCATTGTTTCAGTCATTTATCAAGCAAATGTGGTGGGAAAAAAGCTACAATTTCAAGAGATTCCAGCTTCTCTAATCAGTATTTGCTGCTTCCTTTTTTCATATATCACAGTAGATTCAAATCCTCTGGGGTTTGAAATTTTGTACAGAGAAAACAATTGATAATTAATTACATTTCATAGATCATATGATTATTTCATTAACTGAAAAAACAAGTGTCAAATTAACAGATAATTTAAAAAAAATATCATTATAGCTGCAGCCCTAACTGTTTTGTGTGATCCCTATGCATCCTTTTGGGCCCTGGTACCTTGTGAGCCATTTGCATTTATGACACAATTTAGAATTAAGTATTCAATTTACATCAAACTTTTCTGAAGAGTTTCAATCAAATATATTGTAAGTATTAGAAAAACCTGTAATTAAACTAGTACTTGTAGCCCTATTGGATTGTATATTAAACTAGATTTCTGAAGAAATGACATTGAAAGAGCTGATATGCTGCCAAAAAGATGCTGAGAAGTTGTTGAATGTTGAAATGTTAGTGCTTTTAAAAATATAAAAATGGAGCCAAATGAAAGAAAAGGTGACAAAAAGAAAATTGTAAAAAGAAATAAAGGGAGATGGATGGTACTGTATATTAAATTAGTTTTCAGTGGCCTGTCCTTCTGTTGGCTGTGTTGCTATGGGATCACCATCATCAACAGAAACAAACCCAATAAGAGTTTTAGTTATCCAGATATTTCCAGTTTCGTTTCCCTTTAGACACTATCTTATATTACTTTACTGCCACATACTATAACATTTAGGCTATATTTGAATGATTAAACATCATAAAAATCTGATTAAAGGTGGTGATGCTTTTGTGGGTCTAAAGCAGGACAGGTAAACTCTTGTACTATAGGATTATTTTGCTTTAAATAAAAGCAATCAGCTTTGTCCAGAATTAGCTGACCCTGCTTTTATTCCACTACAGAGCTGATTGCAAGGTTTACACACCACCAGGTGACTGACTCACCCGCAGGTTTGAGGGCTGGAAGCTGTACTCGGCTGCAGCACAGAGAGTGTCAGCAGTGACACTGTCACACTCTGTGAGTTTAGAGGCGATGAGGATGCAGCCAGCGGCCAGGCAGTACGGTGACGCAGGTAGAGACAAAGAGGCAGACAGGAACCTGTCCATCAGGGAGACAGACAGAGGAAACACTGCCTCATCACAGCCACAATCACAGCACACCTGGAGATGACACAGAGATGTGAGACAGCTGCGGTGACGACATAACTCATCCAATACCATGAGGAAAAGGAAGAAACTTGAGCATGAGAGAGTTTATACCTCTAGGGCCCATTTGGTGAGCTCCTCCCTTTGCTCTGGATCCCGCTGGATGAGGGTGATGTAGAATATGGAGGGCATGTACCTCTCCTCCACGTGAAGCAGCCTCTGGATCACTCGATGGCCCGACACGGTTGGGTCCCATGCAGCTCGCACCTGAGATGAGCCCATGTTGTGGCCCTGAGCTGGTGCCTTAGTCTGACCCTGGTCCTGACTCTGGTCGTCTTCCGCCTCCTCACACCACAGAGACACAGACACGCCTCTGTCCATCTGCACAGTCTGGTGTATAACTTGTTAACATCCAATTGAAACTACGCAGCTACAGTGGCGTCGCCTCTGTCACCTCAGATGCTGTGCAGGTAACTGGAAGCTGCAATATTCCTGCAGATCCTCCTTTTTGTCCTTGTTAAAATTCGGACTTTGTCTTCATATGGTGCACTGTTGAATATCACACCTCAGCTATCGCCACTGAGTTTTATAGGCAGCAGGGAGGGGGAGAGAGAGAGCGAGAGAAGGAGGGAGTGGTTGAGAGGGGAGTTTAAGGGGGCAGGGACCCTGGTGAGTGACAAAAAAATAAGAAAACAACAATATGGTGTGTGCAACAAATGCGTCAACAGGTGGGTAGAGGGAGAAAGATGGAGAGCAAGGGAAGAGAGGGAGGCAGGGGAGGAGGAAAGACAGACAAGAGAGGGAGTGGCCCGCAGGGACAGCGCAACAGCTTGTCTTCGACAGTGAAAGAGAGAAGCGAGAAAAAGAAAAGACTGCGAGGGGTGAGAGGCAGAGAGAGAGCGAGAGGAGAGAAAAGGTCACCTCCAGACTCTGACAATGGGAATGGATGACAAAAGGATGATGGTGTTTGTTTACAACATGAGGAGGCAGGAAATACCTCAAACACAGGAGAGATGTTAAATCCTGCCTGCTGTTAGATAAACATCCTTTGAGATATTAGAAGATAGAAAAAAGCATGCAGATGTAACGTAGAGTTAAAGTAATTTAATCAACTATTCAACTGACAGAAAATCAGTCAGCAACAATTCTTATATTTGATGTATCATTAAAAAAATATTCCAGCATCTTAATTATGAAAGATATATCTTTGTGTTTTGAGCTGTTTAAAGATGCCGTGTTGAGCTCTGTTATGTATTTTCCTACTTTTTGTAAATCAAATACCAAAAGTAGTACACACTACCAAAAACATGTACAATACAAGTCATATGTTTTAAAACACCCCCATTTGTTCAGTTTTTATTGACATTTAAGCAGTGACCAGCACAGTGTCTACTCTCCAGGTGAAGAGTGAAAGTAACGTACTAGTGCAACACGTATGGGAACTTCTGTCATGGTCTATCTGAACAATATTTGATTTCATCTGTAGAAAGATGCCACAAATGTGTTTGCTTGTTGAATTAATGGAGGTGACCCCAAACATTTGACTCTTAGTGTAGATGCTGGATGCAAACAAAAAAAAATGGACAGATTAATTGATAAAACATTATTATAATTATTATCGCCACCTTACTCTTTGTTTTATTTAAAGGAATTACAAGCCTGGAAGTTTGTGAACAACTTGTTTAAACCCTGTTTCTGAGACTTGTGTGGCCTACAGAAAATATATAATAAATGCCACAGCCTCTAAAGGTACATTAATCTTGTATTTTATTTACTATGGGTGATTTAATTGTCATGGAGAGAAGAAACTACAATAAAAGTAGGTTTCAATAATATTTTTTCTTTCTGTAAATGTGTTAATCAAACGGTTTGGCTCAGCCTGCTCGCTCTCTCTCTGTTCTTTGAGGATTGTCATTGTCAAAGCAACCTGTGGCTCGGCGGCCTCCCCTCCCTGCGCCTGTGGCAATCTGCTGCTCATGTTTAAAGAGCAGCGCAGCCACCGGGGAGGGCCAGGCGAGGTATGTGCAGC